GTAGGGCCAACTATTCAGAACGATCTCTTTGATATCGTTGTTCGATTTAGAAGTCATAAGTATGTTATGACTGCTGACATCAAAAAAATGTACCGACAGATCCTTGTTGATCAGTCAGACAGAAAATATCAAAACATTTTTGGGCGAGACAATCAACACGAGACTATTCAAATTTACAATTTAAATACAGTTACTTACGGCACATCTTGTGCACCATTTTTAGCAATTCGGTGTCTACACGAAATTGCATATCAAAATATACATTTTAAAAAATTTGCCTGTGAAACCATATTACGGGATTTTTATGTTGACGATTTGCTAACCGGGACTAACAGCATTGAAGACGCAATACAATTAAAAGACGAACTAAATACTTTACTACGGTCATATGGTTTTGAATTGAGCAAATGGTCATCAAACAACAATAATATTACAGACTCGTGCACGGACAATACAGCTGATTTATTTAAAAGTCAATTTACTGAAAACAAAGTAATGAAAACGTTAGGTTTGATATGGAATTCACGATCAGATACAATTCACTTTTCATTTCATTCCAATTCAACATTAAATATAAAATTACAATATACAAAACGGCAAGTCTTATCCTTAATTTCAAAAATTTTTGATCCTTTGGGTTTAGTCGGCCCAATAATCATTAAAGCAAAAATTTTTATGCAAAAACTCTGGCTATTAAAAATTGATTGGGATGACATTATTCCTGAAGAATTAAATAGCGAATGGCTGAATTATATTAGTCAGCTTCCAGTAATTAATTCAATAATTACAAACAGGCCCTTACTTTGCGAAAATCCTGTTTCGATAGAATTACACGCCTTTTGCGATGCCAGCGAGTCTGCATATGGCTGCTGCATATATGCGCGATCGACAAATGATCAAGTTAACTATAGTACCAACTTAATTTGCGCGAAATCAAAGGTGGCTCCTTTAAAAACAGTATCAATTCCTCAATTAGAGTTATGTGGAGCGCTATTGCTTACAAAACTATTAAAAAAGGTGCAACTAGCACTGGCTATTAAAATCGACAAAATTTATTGTTGGTCAGATTCAGAAATCGTTTTAGCTTGGCTCCGAATACAACCCTGTTATTTAAAAACTTTTGTGGCCAACCGTGTCACACAAATTACAGAAATAACGCAATGCACTGATTGGTATCATATACGAGGGGAAAACAACCCAGCAGATATCATTTCACGTGGAGTCAATCCAAATGTTTTAATTAATTCCAACTTGTGGTGGTACGGACCTGAAATATTGCATACAAGGTGCGATATACCGGTTTACAATCAAGAAAATAGGACAATAGCCATTCCGGAAATTAAACGTACAGCCATTGCTACAATTTCAACAGAAAAATTATCGATATTTAATAATTATTCAACATTTTCGAAATTAAGAAATGTAACAGCATATATCTTAAGATTCATAAATAATTGTAAAAAACAACACAAACTTACGAAAAATCTATCAGTAAATGAGCTAGACAACGCCACAAAGGCATTAATTAGACTTTGTCAAAATGAACAATTTACTGAGGAGATTTCGCAGTTAACGAAAAAACAACCGATCAAACCATCATCGCAATTATCAAATTTAAGTCCGTTTTTAGATAATGACAGTATATTGCGAGTTGGGGGTAGACTGAGAAACGCAGAAATTAATTACAATCAAAAGCATCCTATAATCGTTCCCACCAAACACAAACTTACAGAACTACTAATCTCACATATTCATGAAAGAAATTTGCATAGCGGTTGTCAATTAACGTTATCAAATGTGAGGCTGCAATATTGGCCACTGTCCGGCAATAGAGCAGTAAAAAGAGTTATACAAAAGTGCGTTACGTGTTTTAAAAACAAGCCTCGGTCAATAAATCAAAAGATGGGTGATTTACCCATTGAACGTGTAACAATAAGTAGACCCTTTCTAAAATCCGGTCTAGATTTTGCTGGCCCATTTATAATTAAAGATGGGACAACAAGGAAGGCAAAATTTGTAAAAGCATATTTGTGTATTTTTGTGTGCTTTGTAACAAAGGCGGTTCATTTGGAACTTGTCAAAGATTTGTCAACAGATGCATTTATGAATGCACTTAAACGATTTATTGCAAGGCGAGGAAAACCCTCAGACATTTTTTCAGATAACGGCACCAACTTTACTGGTGCCAATAACGAACTTAAAGCAATATATAAGTGTCTAGCGTCTAGTGACACGCAGAGTAAAATAATAAAATTTTTACATAACGATCGAATTTCATGGCACTTTAACCCTGCCCAGGCTCCACACATGGGAGGTCTCTGGGAAGCTACGGTTAAAGCGGCAAAAGGTTTTTTGTTTAAAATTTTGGGAAATGCAAAAATGACCTATGAAGAATTATATACCGTCATAGTACAGGTAGAAGCATGTTTAAACTCCCGTCCTCTAACCCCTTTGTCCAATGACCCTCACGATTATGCTCCCCTTACTCCCGGTCATTTCCTCATCGGAGACTCTTTGATGGCGTTACCTCAACATGACGTCACCAACATTCACGAAAATCGACTGGATCGTTATCAAACAACATTGCCTACAACAGTTTTGGCAACGGTGGTCCAAGGAGTACCTGTCGAATCTCCAGGTACGGACAAAATGGAGGTTTGAAAGGGCCGGCAATGTCAATGTCGGTGAACTTGTCCTAATCAAGGAGGACAAAACACCACCGCAAAAATGGTCAATGAGCAGGATTATCGAACTTCATCCCGGTCCTGATAATTTAGTTCGCGTAGTGTCTCTCAAGTTACCTAACGGTGCAATAGTGAAACGTGCAATTAATAAAATCTGCCTTTTCCCCAAAAGTGAAGAGGACAATAACAGTGAATGAACTGAATAATTTAAGTAATAGTTTCTATTTTTAGTTCTTTTTGTCATACATACTATTATAACTTTAAGTATTTTATAAGTAATTAGTGTACCGTCAACAATTTGACATATTTAGTGTTGTGCACTCTTTGTTCATGTTTACCAGTAATTAATATTAGATATACTTTAGTTGAATCTTTCATATTTTGAAAGGTACACCTTTCAAGGTGGCCGGCTTATGTTAAAGCAAAGTTTCAATTTTAATTCGTTATAACGTAAATGTATAGTTTTAAGTATAATTTAAGCAGGCTTATATTGCCACTCCCACTGTAGAGGCAAGCCAATCATATGTCTAGTAGCGAGGGGGGTTAAAACTACCCGAACTGTAGGACGAGATTCGAACACATTCACTCAATTAAGCAGCATTGCAACACATGGGCAGTATCGACTACCCAAATTGATCGCCAATGATCTAGTTTTTATTTCACTTGTTTAAATAGTTTTAGTTTAAGTTATGTGTAAATAAATATCTACTTAAAAACCATACACTATTGTGGTTTTAATCAACAATACAACAACATCAAACAAACACAAGCATCGTTTTATGGTCCTTCGAGCAACAATTTAACAACAATTACCAAACGCAACAGGAATCCTAAATTAGGATAGGTCGTGTATTAATGGTAGGCAAAGATTTTGAGACTGTAGTTAAACTGTTTAGATATGGTAATTAAGTAAGTTTAATACTACGACAAATAACTTTAATTATGACAGATAAATATTGTTTAGTAACAATAGATGTACAGGGTGATCCTCTATAATTCAAATAACAAACCATGGTTATACCTAAACCATGGTTATACCTAAACTCAACCTTTTTTGAAATATTTGAATTCGAAACTATTAGAAATCAAGAAGCCTCAGTATACAAAAAATTGTATTGAAAATAAATTACTATAGTGACATTATCTCTGTCTGAGTACGCCATTTTTACTTATTTAACAAGACATATAATATAATAATTAACATAATGTCATTATGTTAATATGTCTTGTTAACTAAGTAAAAATGGCGTACTCAGACAGAGAAATACTAAACTATTTTAACTTTTTATCTTAAAAATAATTTAAAAATTTCAGAAACGGTTGAATTTAGGTATATGGTATATTATATGAAATATGCTTAGAATTTTCCATTGAAAAAAAATAAACTTTTTGTTTTTCCCTGTATACTGATCAATTTTCCAATTTTCTTTATACGTTGAAAAAAATTATTTTTAGTACCTACCTACATAACCACACTTTTAAATTTTTTTGGACACTTAAAATAAAAAAGTTAAAGGGGGGCGACATTATTGGGGGCCACCTTGTACTTACGTTTAATAACTGCAGCTAAACCTTTTTAGAAAAAGCCTTTTAATAAACATAAATCCATTAACTGTCCCAAAGAGAGTTATATTTTTAAATTACTACAGTTAAATATTTAGTTATCTTTAATATGTAGTATTTTTTTTCGGTGTTGCCAACTAAATAATTTGTTTGAAAATTTTATACTCACTTATTACCCAGTCATTAGAAAATCAGATGGACAAACAAGGAAATATGTTGCTTTACCATTCAAGGAAATGGTTGAACCAAAGGTTTTCCGAGAATGGATTGGTGGAAGAAGTGCTTAGTAATGGCCGGCAAGATCTCCCGATTTAACGCCACTTGATTTTTTTCTTTGGATCATTTAAAAACACCAGTTTACAAGAATTTTCAAGAATGTAGGCAGATAACTCCTAAAACGTTTTAAAAAGTTTGACAAGAGTTTGAAAACAGATTGTATTATTGTTTAGCAAATAACGGAGCACATTTTAAACATTTACAATATTTTTTTATGAAATACCTATTTATTTATATTTTGGCTATATATATAAATAAAAAATTTAAATTAATTTTTTTAAAAGTAGCTGGAACATAAAATTTGTTTAACACTGCATATGTACTTCCCCCTCGATACTAAATCGACTTATTTTTGCTCAAGATCATATTAAGTGTAAGTCAAAAGTTAGTTAGTTTTTAATTAAAAGCCCTATATAAACATTATGTATACATAAAATATGTTTTGTTTTGCGTAATAATACCTTTAAAAATTATTAGGATTATGGTCAATTTCTCAAAAGTGTGTCGTCCTTTAAGGAAATCAAGGACCTTAATAGAAACTGTCAGACACAGATCTGAAGCAGCTACTGTGGAAGCAATATGCCCTCATTTGGAACAATTTGAAAATGCTAAACCCTATTCAGAAATACCTGGACCGAAAGCACTTCCCATTATCGGAAATACTTGGAGGCTTATGCCGTTAATAGGCAAGATTATAATAATTTACAATGGAAAACTTTTTAAACGTTATCTATGTTGTTTTTTTAGGTCAATATGATATATCAGATGTAGCAAAATTATCTCAGCTATTTCACGAAGAATATGGAAAAATGTGCAAACTTTCTGGTTTGGTTGGCAGGCCTGATTTATTATTTGTTTATGATGCAGATGAAATCGAAAAAATCTACAGACAAGAAGGTCCGACACCTTTTAGACCATCAATGCCTTGTTTAGTAAAGTATAAGAGTCAAGTTAGAAAGAAGTTTTTCGGGGATTTACCTGGAGTAGTTGGAGTGTAAAAACGCAAATAATAAAAGATACAAAAATGTACTGTTAAATATTTTAGACATGGAGAACCCTGGAGACTGTTTAGGACGAGAGTACAAAAGCCAGTTTTACAAATACAAACAGTTAAAAAGTATATTGAACCAATAGAAACTGTAACCAATGACTTTATATACAGGTAAATATGGCCTAAAATCACCTAAATGTTACTTTTGAATAATAATTTTGTTACAAAATATATATTTAAAAATAATAATAATAATAAATATTTTTAGAATGCTCGAAATGAAAGATGAAAACAACGAAATGCCTGCAGATTTTGATAATGAAATTCACAAATGGGCTTTGGAATGTGAGTAATTTAAATTTAAAACCGTATTTAATATTTTGTCTTATAAAATATGTTTCAATTACAGCTTCTTAAATATTTTTGTAATGATGCACCGAGTAATGGAAAGTCAGTTAAAGTTAATATTAAGGAATTACACAAAATTTTTAAGAGACTTTACAATATAAACTTATTTCCTTAGTTATGAAACACGTAGTATTTTTTTGTTTTTAACTGTTTGCTCGCTTGTTACGATGTTATGAAATGCACTACTATTATATCCTTTCCATTTAATATGTTCTTTCTATTTAATATGTTCTTAACTATTGCATTGTAAAATCTTAATAATTATGGTTGTAAGGCGAAAAAACAGTTTCTATAATTATATATTTTTAGGTATTGGTCGGGTATCTCTGGACACACGGTTGGGATGTTTGGAGAAAAATTTACCAGCCGATTCAGAGCCTCAAAAAATTATAGACGCAGCAAAATACGCTTTAAGAAATGTGGCAATTCTAGAACTTAAGTTTCCATTTTGGAGATACTTTCCAACAACTATATGGAAAAATTATGTCAAAAATATGGACTACTTCATAGAGTAATTATTAAGTTTGTATTAAATTTTATTATTTTTAATAATTAATGTTTTAGAATATGCATGAAACATATTGATGCAGCAATGGAAAGACTTAAAACAAAAAACGTAGAAAACGAAAAAGATTTATCTCTAGTAGAAAGAATATTGGCCAATGAAAAAGATCCAAAAATGGCGTATATTTTAGCCTTAGATTTGATTTTAGTAGGAATTGATACGGTAAGTACAGCAAAACAAAAAAGAATAACATCTCAAACAACTCATTCTTTTAGATCTCTATGGCCGTTTGTTCAATTTTATACCAGTTAGCAATAAGACCAGAACAACAACAAAAAATGTACGCGGAGTTAAAAACTGTAATGCCAGATCCAAATGAACCAATAGATTCTAAAAAGTTGGACCAATTGGTGTTTTTAAAAGCATTTGTCAAGGAAGTTTTCAGAAGATACTCTACAGTGATCGGTAATGGCAGGACTTTACAACATGACACTGTCATACAGGGATATCAAGTTCCACAAGGCGTAAGAAAATATACCTAATACAGAGTTTAAACTAGAAGGTATAAATTTTAGACACAAGTAGTTTTTCCAACTTTAGTAACTGGAAGTATGGAAGAATACGTTACAAATCCAAAAGAGTTCCTTCCAGAACGCTGGTTAAAATCAGATATTGATAATAAAATCCATCCATTTGCTTCCTTGCCGTATGGTTATGGAGCTAGAATGTGCCTGGGTAGACGATTTGCTGATTTGGAAATCCAAGTACTTTTAGCTAAAGTAAACAAGTTTTAATACATATATAAAAGGATATTAAATTACAGTGGTTATTTTTAGTTAATTCGTTCATATCAATTGGAATACCATTACGTGCCTCTGGAATATAAGGTTACCTTCATGTATGCTCCTGAAGGAAAGCTTAAATTTAAAATGACTAAAAGGAAGGAATAACATTGGTTTTATTAATAGTTATAATTTATTGTAGAATAATTTATGCAAATACAATTTATTGAAATGAACTTTATGGTTATATTTACTTTTTATGGATTTTTACCAAACATTTTAATAATCCCAGATCAGGTCAAAGTTTGGCCAGAAATTGCCATTTCGCCTTTGGCAAAGTTTTGCCAATAAATGTACAAGATATTTCTTTATATTCCTATGTTTCTTGTGCAATCGCAATGGTCAACAATAAACGATCAAATCGTGCCCAATAAAATGCAACACAGTTTGGTTAGGTTACCGTTGGTATAATTTTTATTGATGATGAAATATGATGAAATATATTTTACGTTTATTTGTACAAATATTAGGTATTTTATTGGCAAATATCTGAACAAATTTTAATTATTTAAAAATAATATTATATATAATAAATAAATATATACGAGGTGTGTTCAGAAAATAACGGGATATTATGCACATGTACCAGCTCTTCTTCCAATACTCGAAACACTTCTAAAACTCGATCTTTGTGATAGCCTTTAGTTCTTTCAGCGATGCGCTTTTAATGTAATCTATGCTTGCAAAACGACGGCCCTTTAAGGTTCTCTTTATTTTTGGGAATAGGAAAAAGTCAGACAGAGGCATGTCTGGCAAATATCGAGGCTGGGGCATCATTACAGTAGTGTTTTTGGCCAAAAATTTTGTTCAAAATTTAACAAGTTTAGAAGTTTAGATACACAAAACATTCGAAAAAATTTCCTGGGATGAGCAAATCGATATACCAACATCATCAGCGACTTCTCTGATGGTTTATAACCATTTCTTCACTTTTTTCAAATTTTTATCGGTTGTTAATGAGCTTGTGCGTTCGGGGCGTTCGTCATCTTCAACGTCTTCACGGCCATATTGGAAACACTTATACCACTTGTAAACTCTTGTTTTACTTATAGCAGACTCACTATAGGCCTTTGTAAACATTTCACAGAATTTATTTCATTTTTTAAGCAAAATTGGATACAAATTCTTTGATCCATTTCTTTTAACGAGCGAAAAATCGCCGAGCACATAAAACACATCTAACCTTAGCGGCTGTCACAGACAAAGTAAACAATGAAAACAGCTAAAGTTTTTATCATACTTTGGGGGCATGTATACCAACATAATAAAGACAATTTTATAACAACCGGACCCTCCGAACCCGCGTAATTTAACAATTCCCGTTATTTTCTGAACAAATATTACTACAAAAAAAGAAACTTTGAAGCTTTAAAGATTTTCTAGTTTATATTAACATCTAATAATTAACTGTTTTATTTAATTTAGGTTTTGAAAACTGTTGTATTAAGTAGACAAAATTTAAAGCTGTTTAATATTTAACAAACGTTTATAAATTGCACGATAATAAATACTTGCAAACAAGCACGTTTTTCACGCCTTTTTGCACATATAACAAATCCCAACTTTTTAAATATACCTACACAGAAAGTTAAGAATATTATTTAACCCAGAGAGTGCTGCCAACAGCTGTTTAACATAAATGTTGTTTTATTCAAAAACTTGCTAATGCGCATAACTGAACAATTAGTTGCCAAGTTTCTACCAATCTACAATTTTACTTGTAAACATACATATTTATCTACATTTTTATCCAATTTGTGATTTTTCTCGCCAACTAAACTTAGAGATGCCACCACCATCTTTTGTTAAAAAATAGTATAAACGAGAACCAAATCTGCAAAACCAGGACAAAACCAGTACACAATTGAAATCAGGACACATTAGCAAAAACCAGAACCGGTCCTGGGTAAACCAGGACGGTTGGTCCCTTAATTAAACTACATAAGTTATGGTGACCATTATAAAACCAAAAGACGGTGATGGAAACTAAAAACATAGTAGATAAGAAATAAGATAAAATTGTAGATAAATATGAGTGTTTACATGTAAATACTTTGTTTTAAAATTTCAAGGAATAAAAAGGTTATAACGATTTTTGGCTTTGAGTTTCAGTTATTTTGAAATATTTCCTCTGGCTTTTTTTAATACATAAAGTTCATGTTAATTATGCAACTCTAATTTAAGCAACCTTGTAGCTCATCAAATTTAAAAAATACTCATAGAAGTATTATACACATAGAAGAATACATTCTTTCATGGGCCAAGAAAGATTGTATTCTCTGGGCAATACAATTTCATACTCAATTTCGTCAATTGATAATACTTTTGCACTAGCAATAAGTTTTAAGGATGTTGTGGATATGTTTAATAATAATAATAATAATAATAATAATAATCTTTATTTATGTTATGTACAAGTAGTCTTTACTCAAGTCAAAATCAGGTTAAAAATATAATTAATAATTTACAAAATAGATTGGCAAACCTAATAAAATTAGTATATAAATAAAATATAAATCGATAAAACTTATAACTAGGTGATATTAAAATTGAAATTTAAAAATTCATCGAATGAATAAAAGGAATATTATATTAAAATTTCCTTAATTTTATTTTTAGAATTTTTGGCCGGATGTTTCCTTAAATTAAGTGGAAGATGGTTAAAAAACTTAATTCCTAAGAAGTTTGTTCTAGTTTGACTTTTTTTCAGTCTATAATATGGCAGTGCTAAATTATTTTTGTTTCTTGTATGATAGCTATGGATACCCGACATCGTTATTTAATCCTTTTTCAAGAAAAAACACTTGGTTAATTTTTAATTTTTATGAGGCATTTTTTTCTTCTTTCTAAAAATAAATTAGTCAAAAATGACTAATTGTCATAGCGAAAAAGCAGCCACTTCTCATCAACAGCAATTTGTATTCCGGGCATTTAGCAATCAATTCATAAAGTTGTCAGCTAAATCCGAAAATGTTGTCAAAAGTTATAAAAGTAAAACAGTTGACAGTTGACATTTAGTCAGTTTTCCATTTAAAATAAAATTGTCTATTTATCAAGAACTGCTCTACTTTCATAACTTTTTCGGATTTAGGGTATAAGAATTCGATGTTAAATGTCCGGGATACAAATTGCTGTGAACTACTAATTCTAGAGAGTACGTAGTTACCATATACCTACCAATTAATACCTTTACTTACATACTCTCTAAGCAAAATAAATAGTTTTTCTCCAACTTGCACCCTTGCCCTCCTTAGAAATTTGGTAGATCCGGGCCTGCCTCCATGTTCAGTTTACAAAAACAAAGTTAAATAAGTGTAAATTAAACCTTAACATTGTGCTAAATGTTGCTTCATACGTGTGAAGCAACATTTAGCACAATGTATACATAATCAATTGTAACAAAAAAAGAACAATGCTTAGCAGTAATTATTTACTAAATTAATTAAATGATTTTGACTTGTTAAATTAAATCTTAAAAATTGTACCAAAACAAATATAAAAAACCGTATTAGAATAATATTATGAAAACAAGTGTCAAAGTTTATGATCTGTTAGATATGTAAAAAAATAAATTAAAAACAAAAAATAAAACGAAAAAGAAATAATTTAAATAAAGATAAATTGATGAAATTTTTACTTAAATTTAATGTAAATGAAGTATTTTAAGCCTCATTCAGAACCTCGTAATTAGTGGAACAAATTAGTGATTTCAATTAACGTAAAAGTTTGTCTTTGTTCACAACCAAATTGGTGGTAGTACTTTTCAATTAGTGGAAAAAATTTGCAAACTTCTAACTTTTACCACTAATTATAATTGGAAAGCCGCTTTGCGCATGTGCGCGGATATTTTATGTCAAAATCAAAAAGTTTTGCCAGGGATGTTAAGGTTGTACAAAATTTTAATTTAATATAATTAATATTGTTTGCCAGGTTAAGAAAAATGGACAATCTTTTAACAAATTCCCTTAATTTTGGATGTTAATTTTGCGCATTGTTAATGATCGTTTTGTGTTAATTATAAGTATAATTGAAACCACTAATTTTTTCCACTAATTACGAGGTTCTGAATGAGGCTTTAAGGTTTATAAATTAAAAAACATGCAACAATTTTTTATTAAATAAATATTTTATTAAAGTAACTTTTAAACTATTTATAACAAACTTTTATACAGGATGGACTAGTTGGGTAAAGATATCACTTTAAAATTATTTTCTTTCAACAAATTTAAACTTTAGTGGGCCATTTGGGGTGTACATTGGATGTATGTGATAATCTAATTCCTTGTAGTGATATTCCACTTTAAAGTTTCTTATTATCTAAAAACAATGCAAGTTAAACAAATATAACCTGTGGGTTAATCGGAAATGTTACCTTTGCCAGAACAGTTTGAATTTCCAAATCAGCAAATCTCCTTCCCAAACACATTCTTTTTCCAAACCCAAAGGGCAAAGATGCAAACGGGTGATGTTCCTTGGACATCGGGCAAGTTTTTAACCATCTTTCCGGCATGAATTTGGCACTATCCGTAAAATATTCATCCAAATTACTAATAACGTAATGTTGGAATATTATTTGTACCTTAAATCATTTAGGAACCGGTAAAAAATATGATTGTTCACTTAACTTCCTTGTAGTGCATATAAAAGCATCTTTAGTGTTACGATTAATAAAATAATTGCAATGGAATTTAATTAAACTTTCCAATTAAATTACTTGGTTGAATTAATATAAGCAGTTTCTATTAAGTAATTATATTTAGTAATTGATTATTAAGAATTTATTTACCCCTTTAGGAATTTCATATCCAGCAATTATACTATCGGAAGTTGTGCATCGTCCATTGCCTATAACCACTGGTTTAAGTCTAAAATAATAATAAAAAGAAAAATGTTAAATATTGTTCACATAAACCTATTCAAATATAAAATTTTAAACTTCAGAGTAAAAATTTACCATGCAACGTAAGTGACGTCACAACTTAACATCGTATCAGAAGAGTAAAAATCATAAAAGATTGTCTGTATTGTTTAGTATACATTTAATTTATCTTTTTGACCTGTCATATTTACCATTTTCTGTTGTAATTCTGTGATTAATAAATTATTATTATAATTATTATTATTATTATTATTATTATTATTAATATTATTATTATTATTATTATTATTATTATTATTATTATTATTATTATTATTATTATTATATAAGTCTGTAGGATAACAGCTTCCTCTTTTGTACGTTTTTTATCGATTTCCGTACATAACAAAAATGTTTTTCTATACTTGACGGAAATCCAGAGTTTAGTATTGTTTGCAATTATTGTTAATTTTAGTACGATTTAAAAACGCGATCCTTATCAAAGCGGGGTTACCACGCTTCCACCGCGCTAAAAAAGTAATTGTTGTTTAACACAATAAATATCACATTTTTTTACACATACACTGTTTAAAATAGCTGTGGTGTAAAGAGTAATCTTAAAATGGTGTCAAAATCCAACACCAAGTGGTGTTAATTAAACACCATGAATTATGGTTGAAAATGTTATATACAGCAAACATCAAAACGGTGTTTGTCTAAAAATATTTGAGAAGTGCACCTACACAGAAAAAAAGGAATAGTTTATTTAACCATACTAATTTAGTTGACCCATAAGTATTTATTTAAATCAACTGTGGAAATGTATATATATAAATATAAACAAAGATTAGTTTGGCGGTACTAAACCAGATAGTAATTTTATTTTTTTTTAATTGGTTAAATTAACCCAGAAAACTTTAGTGAAACCAACCCGCTGTATGGTTCAGTTTACTAAATATGTTGTTTGTAATATAAGAGATACTTCAACCTAAAGCACTCTGTTAAAACGATTAAAACAATTTGCCGTTCATTCCTGGTTGCGTAGTGTGTACCGATCGCGGCAAAGGCGGTGTGGATCACATGATGTTCTTAAATCTCGCCTCTGTTGACTTACATAAAGAGTATATAAGCTCAGTTGTGACACAACAAGTTGTTTGATACTAAAGAGACCTTAAATAGGTATTTTAAGTTGGTGGAGCGTACTAAAAACATTATCTCTAGCGAGTTGAAGCCTACAACTGGAAGGTGAATGAAATTTTGAACAGTGTATCTTCTGAAAGGTATGTATTTTTATATTCTTGGATGAAAATTTAGATGTATGTAGAACAAAGTTGAATGTTTATTTTTTATTATTAAAAATGGCAATTTTTTTTATGATTTTACTGCAAAAAACATTTATGTATTTACTCGTAATTTAATTTTTTTCCAATCTAATCTAATCAATCGTTCGTAATTAATTTTTTTATTTAGAAATGTTTTAAGTATACCCTGTATAAATACGAATTCAATTTTTAATGCACTATTTGTGAAATATTATAAGGCAACCCAATACTTAATGGTAAACAAGTTTTTCCGATATTTATTATTTTTATTTTTCAAAAATTTTAAAATTGACAAAATTTGGACATTTTTTTAAATTTACCTTATTAATTATTATTATTGATATTTAATATAATTTTATCGTTTTTTTTTTTACTCACAAAAATTTTGATTTTTTTAGGATATATTCAACGTGTTCATATATTCAATATTCCTATTTTTCAAGTTCCCGAAATAAATTTAATTTTGGTTTTAACGTAAATTTAAAATGAGGATCTCACATTAAAAGTTTTTAAACCCACAAATATATTTAGTATATTTAAATTGTAATCTGTATATTTATTCTTGCAGGTTTTAATTCCGTATAAAAGTAGTCATTAGATACGTAGGTATAATTATAACGTTGACGCAACAATAAACTAAGATTTCTTACATCTAATACCCAGAAATACAAGTGAAATTCACCAACCAAATCAAAAAGCGATAAGTACCTCATAGTCTCTTTTATGCAAGCCTTCAAGTAGTTCATTTGCTCCAATTTCTCGCTGGTTAATTGGGAATTTGTTTCCGGCAAAATTCTCAAAATTTCTCTATGCAAATTTTCCTGCTTTTCTTCGTGCTGTGATAGTTGATAAAGAATAGACGCCACTGCATTCGATGTCTGACAATAAAACAACAATTTTAATAAAAGTGAAATTAAATAAATTATAAAGCATGTTTAGTTTATCTTATAAAGGTGTTCTATAAAAAAAATTAGTTCATGATTTGATTGGCACGACTGATTAAATTGCTTACAAATTACTATAAAGTTAAACTTTATAACAAAGTATATGTTACTTGGAATGAGAAAATTGCAAAAAAGCTATTTAAAGTAAAAGGGTAGAAGAGCAGGTAGCTGCCGACTACTTTTCTCAACAATAATCTCTGTCCTACAAGAACTTACTGTATCTATCCCCACCAAAAACATGTCCAAAGCTAAAATACTGGCCAGTTTGGAATCATTGTCCATTTTTAAAACCCTTTGTAATACTGAAAGTTCCGCATTCTCCTCTTTTTTTGGATTTTTTAAGGCGTGATTAATGTACTTCATGCAAATTCTAAAAATAATTGTTTTATTACCTACTAAACGAGAGCATTGCAAAGCATTCTGTGCATATCAAATCAAAAATTAGGTACTTACTCTCTTATAGTTTCCAATGCGTTAATATACTTTACGAAGGTGGGCGTATTGAAGAGTTTCCAAAATGGGATTTTTAATTCCAATACTGGTACGTTAATGAAGAATGTGTTTACTGCGTCGATTAATTTTTGAGTGTTTGGGTCTGCGGTTTGATCGAAACATCCCAGTCTTTGGTCTAAGGCTACTTTGGCAATAGCTAAAACAATATACAGTTTACAGTTGTTGCAAATTGTCCAGGTCCCAAATGTGTCTTTACACTGATGCTTATAAATTTTTATTAATAATAAAAGGCTTATTCCTAAACATATCCAAAAAGTTCTTTAAAATAAATCATTACCATATTATAGTTAAAACGTTTTGGTATTATAGTATTATAGTACTAGCAAACCGACCAAACATTTTGACAGGTGAAATATTTGGCTTTTAAGCGATAAAAACAAGAATATAAACAAAATATTAATTTTATTTTAATTTAAATTATTGAGTGTCCACTTAAAACATGTACTTACCTTCTAAAGACCATTTGTGAATTTCATTTAAAAAATCTTTAGGTACTTCATCCTGATCATCCTTAAGTTGTTTAATTCTGAAAGTTAAAATAATTCAATTTGAATAAATTAATTTTTACAGTTACTAATGTAAAGTGGATTAGCAGTCACCTAATTAAATATTATGTTATTTATCATGTTTAATAAACACCATATTAGACACGAATTTAATTTAGTTTATAAACAAGTTGCATACTATACTTTTTCTACAATAAATACTTATTATTATCTAAAAATGATTTAAATTAAATATTTGTATACTTAGAGCGACATCTATGAAACAATAGAGTAACCAAATTGTGAAATTGTCATATTTTTATGTGTAAATCGAAATTTATACCTTGAAGTTTTTTACACTAAAAGTAAAGAAAGTGGTTTATTGGTGGAGTCTCTACCCGAAATTAAGTTAAATCTAGTTTACTACTGGCGAAATTTAGATTTGGTATTATTTTTTTAGATTTAGTATTATTTTACAAGAAGGGTACCTTATTTTAATGATTGTATGACATTTTACTACTGTGAACTAACTTAAAACTAACTTCAGCCCGTGACTAAAAACCTGTTGCTAACTTCAGTCCGTGACTAAAAGGCGATAAATCCACAACCTGTCAATGTGTATTTAAAAGGTCACTTAGTTTCATGAAAACATATACGATAATGAGCGTTTTAAAGGTGGAATAACGATTTACCCAATTTAAAAATTTCAAATTTTTAATGTTGATCTTTATTAGGTAATAACATTAAATTTGCCCGATATTTTTAAAGATATTGAAAGATATTGATAACTAGTAGTTATTAACTACATTTATAAATTTAGGTATTTAGTATGTATACATACATGTACTCTTCATAAAATGTTAGCTATTTTATACAATAATTTTTGTTTTCTTTTACATTTGGTTTTTAAGAATTTAAGAGATAATTAGATAAGTCATACAGATAGAAAAAAAAATACGAAGACTTTTACAAATAAACAGGGGTGTACTTACGGGGGGCTTGGAGGCAACCCCCCCAGTGGATCGATTTTGTATTGTTTCTTAATTTAAAAAACCCAACACCCCCCTTATGAATTTTCTGGCTACGCAATTGCAAATAAACATACATGTATAGTGTTGGTTACGTTACACGTAGCGATTGCTGGTATATGAAAATGCTTCAAGGTTATAATAATAGGATGTAAATATTTAAACAAATAATACAATATGCTGTGAGAAACATAATTATATTTAAATATTCTAACTTTTTTGATAAAAAACATCTTAATAACGCGTTAGTATTTTTTCTACTCCCAGGTTTTAATTCGCGAAAGAAAAGAACTCTATTTCTTATGCTGCTATTTAATGCAACATTGCCGTAAAAATAAATGTGTTATTAATTATGTAACTGGAATCCCTAAACTGGAATATTAAGCAACATGGAATGGATATTATATCACAATATTAAAGATATTTTGCAACAGTCGGACTGTTACAGTCCATTTATAATTCATATTCTTAAATCAAAAACGTTTTCTTGAATACCTTAACATTTAATTAATATACACTGGCCAATTGTGACTCCTTTTTTAATGCTACAATGTAAAGGTTTTAATGAATTCATAATAGATTTTGAAATTGAAAATCTTTACCAATCGAAATCTATAAATAAGTGTAATTACCTGCGTATTTAAGAAGTTGTGAAATCCATTGCATGTTTAAATTTTTTTGCATTTATAATTATTATTATGTATACACGAATTAGTGTTGGTTGTTTTAACAAAGGATTTAATGATCGTTTTTTAAATGTTATAATAGCAATAAATGCATGCTGCAGTGAAAGTTATCACGCGCTTTTGTCTATAATGTTTTTTATTTTACGGAAATAAAAATAATTTTGGTTTTAATAACCTAAGAAATACACTGTGTTTTAAAATTAGAGGATACTATAGTATATTATTAAGTTTAACGAACGGTATTTTTGTCACGAATTTTAATTAGGTACTATCTTGCGAGCGCGTGTTTAATAAAAATGGGTGCCTAGAAAAGATTATATCCTCAATTTTGGTCACAATTATAAATATTTTTCTTATTTTTAGCACATAATATAGAATTTTGATTTTATTAAATACCAAGTATAAAAGATTTTTATACATACACCCACCAAAAATAAGTAAAATATTTGTTATTTATAATTCTAGTGTTATGAATACATATATATATATATATATATATATATATATATATATATATACTTATATATATATATATATATATATATATCTTTCTAGATACTCATTCTTATTAACACTATAGAACAAAATGATATATACTATTATAGCTATAATATGCTATATATGCTATTATAGCTACAATATATGGATTACCTATATGTTTGGTTATTTAGAATTTGACACACTTTTAAAAAGTGACTTTTTAAATTATCTGTGGCCACGCTGCCATCACTGCCACCTTTAGGCATACGTGTTTCATACATGTTTCCATGACACTAAGTGACCTTTTAAATACACATTGACAAGTTGTGGCGTTATGGCGCTTTAGTCACGGGCTGAAGTTAGCAACAGGTTTTTAGTCACGGCTGAAGTTAGTTTTAAGTCATACAATCGTTAAATTAAAGTGCCTTTCTTGTAAAATAATACTAAATGTGAAAATTATTTTATTATCTCAATACAAAAATAAAAAAGTATTACATTTTACTGACCTTTTAATTTCGCCGGCAGTAAACTATAACTTAAATTCGGGCACCGACTCTACTGTAAAGTCCTCATAAAACATTTTCTTTACTTTCACTGTAAAAAACTGTCAATTTTCACGAAATACATTTCGATTTATAACCTTTATAATTGTGTTTATAAAATAAAAAAATGTGACATTTGACGGTGACACAAAGTTTCCCCTATTGTTTCATAGATTGCGCTGTATACTAATTTTTGATTTAAATCATTTTAAGATAATAAACTTTTCTATACACTCATTAATTTAATTCGTGTATAAAATGGCGTTTATCAAACTTGATACATAATATACTATTTTAAGCTTTCCTTTAATTTTTGTATACAGTATAAAGTTGTAAACATAATTTCATATTCTGTATTTAAATCTTTTAGTTTCGACCCCGGCTCTCTATTACATGTTCACACCCTTTTTTCAAGTTGCCCCTAAAATTCAAAAATAAAATAAAAAGATACGCCACTAATAAATATAAACTGATATGAAACTTATTACAGCCTTTTCAGCTAGATTTTCAGATTCAATTTTCAACCCCAAGTAAGCACACTGTGTTTTGGTCAAGAGCTGAAAACATTTTAACACCAAAATTATCAATCTTATATACGGCTCAAATAAATTCGACATTACTTAACAACCAGAAATAAGAAATTCAATTTTAATTAAACAAATAATCTTTTATAGAAACCAAGGTTTAGGAACAGTCCCAAAACCCAACATGTAATATTGAAACAGTGCATTGTGTAAAGCATTTTTTAATCAGGGACAGCACCATTAAAAACTTTTTTTTTTAGGGTGAGCTAAAAAAACTAACCTACTAAATTTATGGGTTAAAATGAACCTATATACCAAGAAAAAAATGTCCCTGCAAGGCAGGATTTTTAGCTCAATTTTAAAAGGTGTCGGTGAGCCTTTAAAGTTTCCCATTTAAATAACACGTAAAAAATCTTCTTTTTTAAAAATACCATAACTTTTGAACCGTTTAAAAATTTATAAAAATTTTTACGTCGCGGATTCTTGTAGAGCATAAAATTTCCCAAAGAATCTATCCCAAGATTATTTAGTTTTTTTTGCTCATCTACCAAACACGCATATCTCAGTTATTAGACATGGGACCAAAATCAAATTTATATGAGTTTATAATGACATTATATAGACAAGTTCTGCCCAAGCAGACTTTAAATTAAAGTTTGCGAAAAAAAATTAGTTTTTTAGTGTGCCCCCCATCCTCCTGCCCCCCAATTTTACATAAATCAAATTAAAGTGGTTCAATTTATAACTCTCTACAGTTTATCAACAAATTTCAAAATTTATTTAAATAGTCCAAGTATTACAGATTTTATACCATTTCTATTTTTTTTTAATTTGTTAAAAGAAATAATAAAAATTTAAAATGGTATAAAACCTGTAATACTTAATTTTTTTAATAAAATTTGAAATTTATCGATAAACTTCAGTGAATTAAATATTGTACCACTTTAATTTGAATTATCTTAATTTGGGGGGGCAGGAGGCTGGGGGGCACACTTAAAAACTAACTTTTTTTCGCAAACTTCAATTTAAATTCTGCTTGGGCAGAACTTGTCTATATAATGTCATTATAAAAAAATAAAATTTGATGTAGGTCCCATGTCTAATAACTGAGATATAGGTGTGCCCAAAATCCACCAGCAAATGGCATTTTGATTAAAGTATTGCTAATGGGACCAATTTATAATATTCTAATTTATTCTTTTTTATGAAAGAAAGAAAATGAATAATTTGTTGTTAGATAACAAACTTTCATCTCTAATTTAAAAAGTAGTTGTACCCATTATTTATTAATTTATATTGGTTTAAATGTTGTCTGTATTTAAAATAAAATTATATTTGATATTTGACGACCTTTGAAACAAAATCGAATAAATTCACTTTTTTATTAAATTAACAACGGAAACTTACTTTGTAAGGTTCATCAAAATAAATGTTTTTAAATAGTTTATGGCGGATTTATACGTTTTTTTTTTCAAAACTCCTTATTTGGGAAATGCATGTTGATGTTTAATCTATAAATCAATTAATTACATTTAAAATTCAAATCGTTAATTGAGTATAAAAGCCAAAAAAATTAAAGTATGAGCTCGGATATAAATATTAAATTATGCTAAGATATACTTTCTAAAAATAAATTAGGCAAAAATGAATTTGGCTTAGCAAAAAAGCAGCCACTAATAAAAGTAGAACAGTCAATTTTCCAAATAATATCTTATCTAATTTAGAGGACAATTTTACACAAGAATTGGCTGTTAAATATCCGGGATACCAATTGTTGTGTACTACAGTTATTAGTGGCTGCTTTTTCACTTTGTTAACTTTGTCATTTTTGACCAATTTATTTTTAGAGAGTACACTAATTATATTAAATTGTATTATTAAAGAATGTTTTTCTATTAAACTAATTTATTTTTTTATTTAGATTAGTTTATTGAAAAAGTACCTGTTTCAATTATTTTACTTATAAGTAAAATGATTAAGACAGTACTATAGTGCTATAGCACTATATAAAATCAAAAAGACAATCCTTATAAAATAATAAATAAATAAATTATAAAATATTTGTTTAATATTGCACTATTATTTTTTATTATAATAATAAAAAGATGCTCATAAAACTATTGCAAAAGCAAACAAATAGTTTCTAACAATTTGTTTTATTTTATTATTCTTTGCAAACAACATAAAAGTTATTTCTTATAACTTAACATGTATATTTTCATTTTACTATTGGTAATTGTATACGACCCACCTACCTGTTAATAAATTCTTGTGAGGTCGACTCAATGGCCTTAACATACATTTTGGCAGCCCTTGGCTGCATCATTATCTGATTTACTTTTGATCTGAATTTCTGCCAGTTTTCTCCATGTCTAAAATATTGAAAATCTTTAAATTTATAAATTTTCTTTTTTTCTTTAATTTTTTGTTTAATTCTAGTTACATTTTTTAATGTAACAATTGTATTGTAATAAGGTAAAGGTTTTTAGATTTTTGGCGAAAAATTAAAAAGTGAAAGATTTAAACATTCCACTAGAAACGATTGCTTTTGAGAAATGATACATAGAGGAAAACTTATATGATTTTTATAAAAAAAAATTGGTCCAAAATTTTGAAAAAATCAAAATTGCAAATTAACCACAATAAAAATATTGAGTCGCATATTCAATGTGTTTAAAATTAGGCAAAAAATTTATAAATAATTAAATTTTCTGTGGAATGTAAAATATTTATTTCCCTTTTGTTACCCCATCTGTGGACATACTGTATGCTATGAATATCTATTTATAAACACTTTTAAAAGTGGATCTCTCTTTTAAATTTCGGACGGTTAATTTAGAAAAAAATACCGAAACCGACATCAATTTGGCAATTATACCTTGAAATTATCATGCCTGAGAGATCGGATGCTATTATTTTTGACCGACTTTTAACCCATTGTTTTGATGTTAGAACGGAAAAAACGATATCACTTTTTTTAAACACCCTATTATATACATTTGAGAAAACCACTATTTTAGCATTGGATTTAAGGCTTAAAATCTCATTAACTTAATAAATTAGTATTAGTATTATTTCTTACACTGCTATTACTCCACCAACGTTGCCGAAAAATTCTTTTCGGTAAACATGTTTGTAGTAATTCAAGGACGGCATGGAAGGCCTTAAGGGCATGCTGTCTTCTTGGCGAAAAACTTTCTCGATGTCGTCTGGGTCAAAGAGGAACACCATGTCTGGTCTGCCCAGCAGACCTTCCATCTTGACAATTTTACCAAACTTTTTGTATAGTCTAAAAGACACTTTGTCGATGTGTTCTATCTGGAAATCACCTAAAAAATATTGATATTAAGTACTAATATAATTCAGGTGTCTAATATCAAACAGCACGAGCGAAGCTTGCGAGCGAGTGTTTAATAAAAACGAGTGTCTAGAGAAGTTTATAAACAAGTTGCATACTATACTTTATCTACGACGAACAGAAAACAGAATTTAAAGCCAATTTTATTTGTTAAAATTTTGACATCTGTCAACTGTCACCCGAATTTAACCTCACTTTTTCCCAATTTATAATAAACTTCAGCCCGTGACGTAAAATGTCAAAAAGCCACTGTTGTTAAGTTCAGCCCGTCAATAAAACGCCATAAAGTCACAGCTCGTCAATGTAGGAGTAGATAAATAAAATAATGTTATACAATATTACGATATTTTATTTTTGTTTCATCATCTACATATACTAATTTAAATATTTTAAGCTACACAGACATAAAAAATTTATAATTTTTATATTATATAAAACTTATATTAGGCAATTTTATTGAAACATACAAAATTATTTTTATGGATGTTATAATTATGAATTTTTTTAAATTCATTATTTTTAACCATGATTTATAACCAAACTCAAAATTATTAAAGCATTTGTAATTTTTTAGATTAGGTACATCAACTTCCCTTATAATATAAAAATTTAATTAAAATAAATATTTTGCGAAAGAGACCTTAGTAATGAAAATTTAAATGTTAAAAATGGTATAGGTATACAAATTCATTTGATTTAAATTTTATATAACTTTTTGGGTTTTTAGTAATATTTAACTAAACTATCAAAAAACAGGATGTCCCCGGATTAAGTTTAAAAGTTTATAGAGTTTTGACAGCTTAAAAATATAGGGGCCCGAATTGAGAAAAAAAAATTGTTTGTAATTAAAAACGAAGTCAAAATTAGATTTTTAAAATTTCCGGAAAAATTGAGCGGGCGGAATAAAAACCGTTTTTTACCAAAAAAAAACAAATAATTATGAAATTTTCAGAAAAATTGACTTTTGCATTTTTTTCATTTTATTCAAAGGGTTATTCCAAAAAATGCAAAAGTCAATTTTTTTTATATTTCCAAATTTTCACGGATACTATCCGTACACTGATACCGAGAAAAAAGTAAATTTCCGACGATGAATATATTCATAATAATTATGTAGTATACTGATTATTATGATTACTAATCATTGATTAGGTATAAGTATTTCTTTTATTTTAATTCAGTAGGAATACTCTACAGGGTCGCAAAAAAACATATTTGGTGCTGTATTAACATAACTTTCATTTTTTTTACATTTCGATTTATAAAATTATAATTTTCTAATTTAACTTTATAAATCATTCATTATTTTGTAATTGGATATTTTTAATGGACTTATTTTTTCAAAAAAGACCCAACCGACAGTATATTAAATTTTAATGTTTACGTTTATTTTCTTAAATCATTCTAATTTAATTCAATGTTTTTTTTCTGTAAGGATATTTTTTTTTAATGAAGTAATGTTGATTGCTACTTTTTTTAAATGTGAATATTTTCCAAAAAAAAAGACAAATTTTTCTAGGCCTGGGAAAAAAACGGGAAAAAAGTTTTAGTCTAAATACAAAAATTACGACGGAAATTATACAGTTGATTTTTCTTTGTTTTTTCCAGTATCAAGTTTATTTATATTTTTACATTTAATTTTTCTAAAAAGAGTTGATAAAATGTTTGGATTGTCAAAAAAATATTATTTACTTATGAGAAAATTTGGAACTTTAACCACAGGGTGTTTAAAATGTCTTGAATAGATTTTGATTTCCTTACTTTTAAACACCCTGTAGATAAAATCCCAAATTTTTCTACGTAAATGTTATTTTTTACAACCAAAACATTTTATTGTTAATTTCTTTTTTTCGAAAATTAAAAATAAAAACATAAAATACAAGAAAAATCAACTTGTTAATTCCAATCCTAATTTTTGTGTGCAAACTTTGTTTTTAATAACAAACAACTTTTTTTATAAAAATTTTCCAAAACATAAAGGTACCTACTTTTCTCTTGAGTCGATTTCATGTTTTTTTTTTAATTTTTGAACACCCTATAGATAAAATCCCATTTTTTTAAGTCAATGTCGACGATCAAAACTATTAATCAAGAAGGACTTTTCTTTACAACACCAAAAATAAAAAAAAAAATCCCTCTTGTAAACAGTGTTGCCAACCTCTTTGAATATTTTATCGGTAGATTCCTTGGAAATTTTCGGTAGATGATGGTAAAATTTCGGTAGATTTAAATATATGTGAAATTTTTAGTAAAAAAACACAGGGAAGAGAAAAATATTTATTAAAAATAAAAAAATATTAATAAAATCAATAACATAATAATCTTAACATAAGTTGAATATTTATGAAGAGAAATTTAACAAAAAATAATAAATAAACACACAAAAAAATTAATAATAAACATAAATTTTGCACAAACTTGAATGTTCTGTACTTCTGTGTTTATTGTATCATGAAAATTTGCGATAAGTACCGGCTATTGTACAAATAATGTGGGTAAAAACAGTTTTTACTACAAAAATTGAAATCTGCAATACCGTCTTTGTACGCCTTTTGTACAAATAATGTTGGTAAAAACATTTTTAATCACATACTTGTGAAAAATGTATAATACTGTTGTCGAAGTATAATATTTTTAGCAATTTAATGTAAAAAAGTTATACTTTATTGCAAGATTTAGATTTTCGGTAGAATATTGATGTTTATCGGTAGAATTTTTAGAAATCGGTGGATTTACCGAAAATTCGGTAGGGTTGGCAACACTGCTTGTAAATTTAATCCGGGAATATACCGATTCTGTTTAAAATGGTACAAAATGAAAAAAACTGTCGAGTTTAACGTAAAAAACTAAGTATCTGGCTTTTAAAAAAATAACTTAAATTGTTTACGCCAGCAACCATCCTTCAACCAAAAACAATTTTGCACACCACTTTTGAGACTTAGTATTCAACAATAATTAGTAATCACCATTAATATAACAAAAGTTAAAAAGTATTTAAATATAAGTAAAATATTTGATCTACTAGCAATCAATGCATTTTTTAAATTTTAATGAACATTTTTTGTTATATAATTTTTATGTTTTTTTTTAATTATATATTTTTTAGATTTATTTTTCGTCCGCGCAGGCTGCCCTATTAGTATCGTATTAAAATTTTAAAAACATTTTAAATTTAAAATGTTTGTACTTACCAACTAAAGGCAAAAATCTCCAATTATTTCCTAGTAAGGGTATAGGTTTAGGCCCCGGCACTTCACTGTAAGGCAACACATCCAACTTATCACTAGCACTTAAAACCCTAACTTTTTGCTTAGGAGTACTACTAATAGCCCGCCGAAAAGCCTGAACCAGCTTTTTTTTCGACATATTAAAATTAAAAATCGACGTTATTTCGGCCCGACTGTGTAATCGGTTACCTTTTAAATAATATAAGGCATGTAATAAAAGAACATTACAAACTTGCCTTGATTATTTTTTAAGAGGTACCCCACCACAGCTAAAAGCGTAAATTTTGCAACTTTCACCTTATTGATTCATCGAAATACGGATTTAAATTCTTTGTGTTATAAGTTCTTTGTGTCCGAGCGTCAAATTCAATTTTGGTTTAAATTTTGTTTTTGGCAATTTTTTGTAGGTAGGTATCTGTAATGGTCTGGCCTACTTGGTTTGTTAAACATGGTTTAGTGTAATTTTATCAGAAATATTTTCAGATATTTAAATTCTAAATAATATAATGTGGTTTGTTTTGGCAAAAAACATACTGATTTTTAAATTGGACACCCAGTATATTTTTACATATTTTAAAAGACAATTTAATTGGGGAAAAAATATTATTGTATAACTACTTCAAACTTAAAAATAAACAATTAATAAGCATTTTAACTTTCTGATGGTGTAATAACCGAATTATTACTTTATTTTAACAACTATCAGAAAGTTCAAGAGCTTGGTAATTGTTCATTGTTTAGTTAAGGGTAGTTTTGCAATACTAATTTTTTGATCCAAATTAAATTGCCTTTCAAAATTTACAGGTTGTCCCATGGGACATGCATTTAAAACATGTTATTTTTGTTAATATTTCGGAAACCCAGCGTTCAATTATTTTTTTGTTTTCACCAGTTTAATTAGAAGACAAAATGCCACCAATTTGCTAATTTAACCGAGTTTGTAGCTTTAATAATAACCGAGTTACAATGTTTACAATGGTAAGCAGACAACTTTGGACACTGTGTATATACAGGGTGCCCCAGATTTTAATATAAAAAATTGAGTAGTCAATAGAACTCGCGAAAATAGGAAGAAAACTTCTATGCTTTAAATCTTTGTTTTAGAGATACAGGGTGTTAAAGTTAATAAAAAAGTATGATCATGCTACTGCTTTTTTATACGCAAAATATTAAGCAATTAAAAATACAACTGTTTTGCCTAATGCCTGTTTTCTTTATCTTAGTTTTCTTTAGCTTAATTTTCAAGTAATATACAATTATCTAACAGGCGGAGGAAGCGCTTATTTAAATAATAATAAATAATAATAATAGCTCTATTGACGGATATACCATTTACAATTTACAGTAAGTTTAATTATAAATTATAACAATTTTTTTCTCTTGTTTTTAAACACCACAAGAGAACAATTAAATCTAATTTATTTTTTTCTTAATAGTAAAGTATTGCATTTTAGTTCAGCTTTTCGAATTATTTTCTTCGAACCATTTGAAGGTTCGGCCACGATATAAGTCTCTTCACTTCATTTGTTTTCACAACTCATTTTTAGATTTTAAATAACACTGCATATAAAGCTGTCACTGCCAGTGTCAAATGCGAAAAGCGTTACCATAAAAACAAACTTTAAATAACTCGCAATGTTGTCGCATTGAAATCCTATTTTTTACATTTTTTTAGTTCACGTTATTGTGCTACAATATATGTATATGTATATAGTACATAGTTTTGTATTAAAATAAAACATAAAATTATAAAATCAGAAAATTGTCTGTTTTCTAAATAAAATGTAATAAATTTGCAAAATTAATTTTGTTTTTGGTTGGTACAATGGGGCACACGGAATTTCGAACGACTATTATTCCGTTGACATCAAAATCTAAACTTTCTTTAAGGACAACTAACCTTACTTACTATCCTTGTAATTTTGACAAAGAAAGCAAAAATGGTCATTATTGTATGTTTGCTATTTACAGAATCATACAAGGACAACCAAATTATGATGTTCGAAATTCCGTATCCACCACTATTTGATTTAAGCTACCGTAAGACGGGTAATTTTGTCCTCTTTTAAAAAATATTACAAAATGTTTATTTCAGAACTATCATTTGTTAAAAAACCGTTTAATCATTGTTAAAAAAAATGAGCAAAAATTTAAATAATTAGGCCTTATCAACGACATCTTGCATATGCGAATCTAATAAAAATTAATGAAATATAAAGAATCCTGTAAAACGTAAGCAGTGATTTTCGCGATTTTGGCCCTGGAAACACCATTAAAAATAAAAAAAAATGTTGAACTCATTTTAAAATGTGTTAGACTGAAACATAATAATAGGTATATATACGAGGTGTGTTCAGAAAATATCGGGAATTTTCGTTTTTTGAAACAAATATTTATTTATTCGTCTACATTAATGTTGTCGCCTTCAAAATAGTCCCCATTGGATATTATGCACATGTGCCAGCTCTTCTTCCAATACTCGAAACTTCTAAAACTCGATCTTTGAGATAGCCTTTAGTTCTTTCCGCGATGCGCTTTTAATGTAATCTATGCTTGCAAAACGACGGCCCTTTAAGGTTCTCTTTATTTTTGGAAATAGGAAAAAGCCAGACAGAGGCATGTCTGGCGAATATGGAGGCTGGGGCATCATTACAGTAGGTATTGTTTTTGGCCAAAAATTTTGTTCAAAATTTAACAATTTTGGAACAAATTTTGCTGCCACGCGTTTCATACCCAAAACATTTGAAAAAATTTCATGGGATGAGCCAATCCATATACCAACATCATCAGCGACTTCTCTAAAGGTTTATATCCATTTCTTACACTTTTTCCATGTTTTTATCGGTTGTTAATGTGCTTATGCGTTCGGGGCGTTCGTCATCTTCAACGTCTTCACGGCCATCTTGGAAACTCTTATACCACTTGTAAACTCTTGTTTTACTTATAGCAGACTCACTATAGGCCTTTGTTAAAATTTCACAGAATTTATTTTATTTTTTAAGCAAAATTGGATACAAATTCTCTTTGATCCTTTTCTTTTAACGAACGACAATCGCCGAGCTCATAAAACACGTCTAACCTTAGCGGCTGCCACAGACAAAGTAAACAATGAAAACAGCTAAAGTTTTTATCATACTTCGGGGGCATGTATACCAACATAATAAATAAAATTTTATGACAACCGGACCCTCCGAAGCCGCGAAATTTAACAATTCCCGTTATTTTCGGAACACACCTCGTATATATATAATTTTTAAAATACTTATTATAAAAGAGATAATAATTTTATTTTTTAAATAACCCGAAAAGAAATATGACGGGTATAGAAGCAAAACCACTTCACATAATTTTTTGAAACTTAAAATTTCATTTCTCTTTTACAGTTTTTTGTAATTTATATTTATTTTGACACCAACACATTCCATGCCCCATTGTGCCATTTAGCAAATAATATTTGCCAAATATACGAGCATTTTTTGGTTGTGTGCCCATTGTGCGCCGTTAAGAAACAAAGTTATGTTTAACCCAGGCGTCGGGATGTCTGGCGTCTTTCGATTTTACCAATACAGCATCCCATTCAGTTACACATGCATAGTTGCGCCAAATTTCGCTAGTCGCTTAAATTTTTCAAACAATTTTTCCGCGTTCGATTTCGAGACGAAACTGAAAACATTACAAAAGCATTTTCCGGTGAGTTTTTTCATTGAAATTAACATCTGTATGATTTATAAGATCTATTAGTTCTAAAAATAACATTTGTATTTTAAGTTTGAAGTTAGAGAACGCTGCTTGAGTTTACTTTGTACCTTTTGAACGCTTCGTAAAACTAAAACTTACACACAATGCCGGAGAAATTTCTGTTTTGTTTTAATTTAAAAAGCGGAGCTATGGCTATGGCCATGATTAATTTGGTAAGTACCATTTATGTATATTTTTATCAATGTTTCTTATTATCAAAAACTCGATAAACAGGTTAAATACTTGAAAACACATGCATTTTTTGGTTATTTTTAGAAAACATTAAAAAATAAATAGCAGAAACTAAAAAAAACATTTTTTAATAATAAAAAATTTCTTTAAAAGCTCTTATATACAAAATTACCAGTAAACAAAAATATTTCTTTGAATTCCATATGTTTTATTTTTTTAACTTTGTTTTTGTAATTTTAGAAAATTTTCTTTTAGCTGAAAATTTAATTGACGTTAGTCAAATAACTAATTAAATAGGTACTTACACACGCTATAATATAGGATGCGTGAAATTTCTGTTAAACTTTTACGACTTTATATTTTTACAATAATTATGGTTATTATAACAAGAGAAATCTTAGCAACAACATTATATCACAGTTATAAATTAATAGTTATCTATTATAGGTACGTTTTTTTATAGCCCAAATATTATTACACATAGTATATTATGTATAAAGTTTGATAAACACCATTTTAGTCACGAATTCAATTTAGGCAAGGGCAAGCTTGCGAGCGAGTGTTTAATTCTTTTTCTACCAAAAATACTTAATATTATCTAAAAAATTATTTAAATTAAATATTTATATAAAGCGACATCTATACGAAAAAAAAGTAACCATCCCAATAAACATTTTTAACGTAATTTTCACCATTAACGTTTTATCTTATGAAAAAACGCATTTTAGGATGTATGTCTTAATTTAATGGTAATGTTTTTCTTCATAGATTTATTCCATGGTTTTATTAGTTCCTTGTAGGGACTTCCTATATTTGCCCAAGACTAGTAAAATCACCTCACTTAGATAAATAAACTATAGATTACAAAATTGATCTATTTTTGTTTCTATATTATTTAACATCGAGTAAATTACATCTATCTAAACGATAATAAACGTTGATTTTAGAGATATACTATTTTATATCGTAGGCTAAATTTCAAAACTGGAATAAATAAAAATGTCGGGCTAATTTTCGTCCCAAGTTTGTAAAACAACCCAAATTTATTAAATTTCGTACAACTGGTTTCGCAAGTTTCATACTACTTCCATCATCAGATACAGTATTTTTAATGAAGATAACGTGTTATCGCGTATCTGTTGAACCGGTTGTACTAAATTTAAATTACTTGTATGGATTTCATACGTAAAGTTTTTATATTAGGTATTCTAATAATTTCTCGCCGTTTCTGCATATGTTGTTTACTTTGAATACGCATGTTTTTTGTAAAAAAAGTCACATTAACGATGAGTGAGTTTATTAAAAATAAATCATTTAAATAATTTCAAAATTGGCGAATGCGCCGGAATTAATGTTACCTACAAAACAACTTTAACAATTAACAAGAATTAAAAGATGACAAATGACAAAAAAATATTAAAACAAAGTGTTTGCGGACCTTCGTTTATTAAATTTTTAGTCATGATATTTAGAAACACATTGTATATGAATATAGGGTGATTTACCTAACTGAAAGAGGTTTATAGAGAACTTAAAAAAACTTAAATCCAAAATTTTAGTTGAAGTCCACATTGTGGAGTCGCCACAAAACCAACGTTCAACGTTTTGTGGACGTTGGGTTCTAATTTTTTCCCTATCAGTCGTTATCAATAAGGAAATTTTTTTTTCTAGTAGCGTGCGCAAAGTAACAATTATCCGCACCCATTTGCGTGCGCAAAGTTGCACTTTTCTGCATGCATTTGCATTAAAAATGTATAATATACATATTATGTTGATTTTAGACAAAATCAAATTTAGTTAGTTACTTAGTTTCCATGTCAATAAGTGTCAAACAAAGTAGAACGTCATAATATATTATAGATTTTTCGCAAAATTAAAATGAACATTTTGGAAGAAGAGCTACCATATGACATCCTGGAGGCAGCAAATACTGTAAATGAGAATTTATTACCAGCGAAATCCTGTCAAACAATTTAAACATTTTGAAAACTGGTGCAACAAAAGTTTTAAGGAAGAAGTGTTTCTGGCCTATTTTGCGGATTTAAGAAAACCTATCAGCCAAATACTTTGTGGAGTAAGTACTACTCCCTGTTAGCTGCATATCTAAAACTTAAAAATCCTAAGGAGGATCTACGAAAACTATGACCTGTGTAACACAGGTAATAGTTTTCATAGATCCTCCGCTACTACATTAGCCGATTCTGGGGAAGGAATTTCCAATGTTAAGCGACTTGGAGGCTGGAAATCAAGGGCTGTCGCCGAGAGCTACATAGAAGAATCCATGACCCAAAAAAAAATTATCGTATAAAATATTGGAAATAAATAAGTGGATTATTTGTAAGAGTGTGTTAATATTGTCATAAATAAATAAAGGTCTACTAAATAATTTTTGAATATGGTTCAAATTAAAATGAAGCTTTTATACTTCTAACGACAAAACTTGTGCATACCTCTCGGCATACCTACTTTAAGTTAGATTATAATAATAATAATAATAATAATAATTTATTGCCCAACAGAATACAATATTCCAATTACAGGACAAAATATGTATTTATAACAACATTAGTAATATTTAATATGCCTAAGCTTAACAATAAGGAAAAAATAAAGAAGATTAAACAATATTATAACAATAGAAAATATATATATATACATATATATATACCCGTATACACATATAAACAAATACATACATACATATATCATTGTTCACGTACACTTGAAACTATTTCCCTAATGCTTGAATTAAACAAATCACAGTTACCACATATAGAATTAAAGTTATTGCACATTACTTGTACTGGAGATTTCAAATGCACGTTTGTTCTCGAAAAACTACAATAAAATAGTTTCATATTTCGAGCTCCTAAGCGGGGTATTAAAATATTAAAAAAACCTAAAATGTGACTAGAGTCAATCTGATTATTAAAAAGTTTCCACAAAAATTTTAAACTTATAACTTTGCGCCTAACTAAAAGAGTTTCAAAGTTAAATCTAGATAATAGGATATTATGATCATATCCTCTAGCGGGATAGACGTGATCAATTCTGTAGGAAAGCAGTTTTAAAAATCTTCTTTGTATCTTTTCGATAGAGTCAATATGTACATTGTAATGCGGATACCAGATGAGAGAGCAATATTCAAGTTTTGTTCTAATGAGATAATAAAACAGTGATTTTAGAGCTTGGATGTTAGAAAAACTAACAGAATTTCGACTTAAAAATCCTAACAGCTTTAAAGCAGATTTAACAATGTTATTGACATGAGTTGTAAATGAGAGCCTATTGTCAAAAAATACACCAAGGTCACGAATTTCATGACAGCGTAAAAGGATGGTATTATTTAATGTGTAATTAAATATAATGGGCGTATTTTTAAGACTGTAACTACAGATTTTACATTTAGATACATTAAGATCGAGTTTGTTAACTTCACACCATCTAAGAATAATATTCAATTGTTGTTGAAAAAGGTCGCAATCAGTAGTATCAGAGATACTGGTAAATATTTTCAAATCGTCAGCAAAAAATAAATGATTACAATTAAGTTTCAGTGACAAGTCATTTATAAATAAAATGAACAAAAGAGGTCCCAGATTAGAGCCTTGTGGCACTCCACTAGTGGCATAAAAATAACTAGAAAAATACCCATTATAGAAAACAAATAGTTTGCGCTGACACAAGTAGGATTGAAACAGATTTATGAGAGAATTATTTAAACCAAAATATGACAACTTATTGAGCAAAACATTATGATCTACCCTGTCGAAAGCCTTTGAAAAATCTGTGTAAATCACATCCACCTGAAGTTTTTTATCCAGTTGTGTAGATACAAATTGCGTGAATTCAATAAGATTTGTTACAGTCGAGCGTTTATTCATAAATCCGTGTTGTTGCGTGGAAATGAGTTTATTAACTCCGTTGTAGATGCAACTATACACAGATGATTCAAAGACCTTCGCAAGATTAGATAGAATCGCTATTGGTCTATAGTTTTTAACGTCACAAGGATTGCCTGATTTCAAAATTGGACAGATTCTAGTTATTTTCCATAAATCAGGAAAGGTGGAAGTTGACAAAATCATATTAAACAAAATTAGCAGTGGATATGCAAATATTAAAGAGCAATCTTTAATTAAAAAGTTTGGTATTTGATCATAACCACTTGAATGATTGTTTTTTAGTTTGGATATACTGTTTAATATAAGCTGCTCAGAAAATGATTTAATATTTATGTTGGGATTAAGTGAAAACTCAGAATTTATACTAAAATTTTCATCACCATCAGAATAAACACTACCAAAGTAATCAGCAAATCCATTGACAACATCTTGGGGACTATCATAATGAATATCATTAAAAAAGACATTGGCTGGTATTCGAGATTTACCCCGTTTTTCACGTATAAATGACCAGAACTTGTTAGGTTCCAATGTGATGTTGTCCTCAGTCTGCTGAATGTAGTTTTTGTAAGCGTTACAAATTTGAGATTTTAAAATTTTTCTTATTCGTTTAAACTCATTTAAAGATTGTTCATTGTTATGTTTTTTAAAATTTAAGTGGTGTTGTTCTTTAATCTTTATATTGTTAATTATCTCAACAGTGTACCATATTGGATATTTGCGTTTAGATTTTTTAAATTTAGGTACAAATTGGTCAAAAATTAAATACAGCTGAGTATAAAAAGATTCACAAGCAACGTTAACATCATTGTAATTATTAAGAAAATTCCAATCAGTCTTTAACAAAGCATCATACAGTCCAACTAAATTAGCTTTTTTAAAATTATAATTCTTGTTGTTAGAGTTGTTTGAAAAGTTGTAATGTTTATCAAAATTTGTATTAATATTTATTAAAAGAGATGGATGATATTTGTCCTCAGCAACCATGGGTAGAGTTTCCTTAAGAACACAACATTTAAGATCCGACAGACACAAATCGAGAATATTGCCATAATCATTTACAATATTATTATATTGACAGAAAGAATTGAAATCTAAAAAGTTTTGTAAAATACGGGTTTTGTAATCGCCAAGGTTATGTTGAATAAAGTTAGGAACATTAAAGTCTCCTATAATAATTATGTTTTTTAAATTAATTAATGATGATTCAAATATTTCAAGAAAGTATTCTACATCTATGTTACTTGTCTGAGGGGGAATATAAATTGCAAAGATATAATACAGTGTGTGCTTAAGATCTAATTTACAACAAACTATATCAATTAATGGAGTAATTGAGTCTAACTCTGCGAAGCTTATCAAATTAACATTAAATGAAGGATTAAAAGCTAGAAGCACTCCTCCACCCCGAGAAGTTCCGGTTCTGGCATAGTCTCTGTCAGAACGAAACACAGAATACATATCAGAGAAATATTCACAACTATTAATTTCTCGGTTTAACCATGTTTCCACCAAGGCTATACAGTCAAAGTTTTGTTCAGAAATAAATGAATAAACTTCATCCACTTTTGATCGTAATCCGCGCACATTTTGGTAGTATATGTTGATGGATTCGTTGGGCCTTTTTAGTTTTCCTTATGCATAATCGTGGGTAAACCATTTCTATACCCTATTCTTAAATTCGATTCCCCAGCTTCAATTCTATTATCCAGTTGTATTTTTATTTCTCTATAATAGTCATTTTGGCGTTTTGTACGGTCTAATGAAATGCTAATGTTTTTAAATTCAGAATTTTTAAGGTTTCTTGCCTTTTTAATTATATCTTGAACAAGGTTAACATCCTTCATTTCAATTTTGATGGGACGGGAACGACCGTTGGGGTTCTGCTTACCTAACCGATAGATATTCAGGTTTTCAACATTGGTACTTGAAGAAAGCGCCTTAAAAACATTTTCCACAACTGACTTATCTTCAATTAATTTATCCGAGGTAGAACTAGCTAAGCTTTCTGGTAAATTATATACAATAATATTGGATTTTCTTTTTTCACGCTCGTTAATCTCTTGTATAATTTCTTCAAATCTAAAATTATTAGACGTAGGTAAGGCTTGAGTTTTTAGTTCTTGTATGTCATCTTTTAAACTAATAATGATGGCTTTTAAGCTGTTAATATCATTGCCCATTTCATTGCACATAGAGCAGGACCACGAAAGTCCTCCTTTTGTTTTGATTTTCCTAGCTTCAGAGGAAGTAAGATCGGCACAGGTGTATTTGGTTGGTTTGTTACATACACAACAGATAACAATCTTGTGCTCTTCATCAAAGGCATTGCAACCACATGAACATTTAATGGCCATGTCTGCGAGAATTTTTATAATCTGGCAACACTGCGTGACTAGCGGTGTGATGGATAACCGAATTAGAGGTTAGTTAAATTAAATAAAATAAACTAGACTAAGTATCCACTTAACTTTTTGTAGTCACAAGCAATAATAAACTGTTTGTATAACAATCCGAAGTCGAATAATAATTTAATTCCTCTTAATAAACAATAATAAACACTATATAGATTTACAATGTTGTCACTTTTATAATAACAACTATATAATTATAAGAAAACAAACAATTTTTAAAGAAACTTGCAATGTGAAAATATTTAATACCCCATATTTTTTTTAAATTTTTAAAGTTATAATGATTTTTCGATGTAGATCAAATTCAGTCGAAGCTTTTTAACTATTTGTATTGACAAAACTTTATGTAGGTACACTTTAAGCTGGATAAGAAGAACTACCACATTTTTTAATACCATATTATACAGTCTTTTAAATAATCCAAAATACTTATTTATTTAGGTCAAAATAAATTTTCCAACCTTAAAATTACAAAATTAGATGATATTTTTGTTATAATATATTAACCTACCTTTAATACAGATATTCTTATTCCATAATAGAGAAGCTAGAATTTTTTCAATAAATTTATGCCGTTTAGTTAAAATTATTTTATGGAGAAAACTTACTTGGTACCATACACTTTAGAATTTCATTAAAAGCAGTATTTATATTCTTAAATTCTTAAACCATCCATTGTTATTGTAATGTTATAAAGATTTATACATTTTTAAGCCTAAACATAATATTATTTCTTTCGTTGACTATACTTTGACAGATACCTAACCTGAAAAGCCTTAAATGCCAAATTTTCAAAAGACTGCGTTCCGTACGTGGTCACGTGGTGGGACTTTGAGGTGTGGAGCATAGTACTTTAAAAGAATCACGTAATTACTTTTTGCGTTGGCAGTTATGAAACTACGTATAATAACAAACTAGAATAAAATAAAACATCTATGAAAAAACGAGAAAATGCAAATAATAAATTAATATTTTTTCTACTTCCACCTTTAAAACGCCCATTATCGTACATGCTTTCATGACACTATGTGATCTTTTAAATACAAATTGACAAGCTATGTTAGAAACAGGTTTTTAGTCACGGGCTGAAGTTGTCAAATTTCATACAAACGTTAAAATAAAGTGCCCTTCTTGTAAAATAATACTAAATGTGTATTTATCGTAAGTAATATCATAAGGGCATCTAATTTTTCCGAAAAGAATCGAAAAAACACGTTGCTAAGTGATATTTTAACAAAAAGCATGAGTGCTGGTGGCAACAAAAATCCGAGTCGAAGAGGAGGATTTTTGCACCTGCACGAATGCTTTTTGTTAAAAAATATTACTTAGCATTGTGTTTTTTCGATTTTTTCCACAGGAAAAATTATATGCCCGAATGGTATTTGACAAGACTACTTCATGAGTAACATTTAACAATTAAAATTTAAATTGCAATTTTTGGTGACAACAGCTGTCAAGTTTTGCCGCGGGTAAACTCGAAAATTTTGCTGACAGGTGCTGTCACACAGTTTTTTCACCTAGAAACCATTTGTAATTCAAAATTGCGCGTTTGTGATTGGTGGAAATTAAGGCGAGGGAAATAGTCACCTAGAAACCATTTGTATTTCAAAATTGCGCTTTTGTGATTGGTGGAAATTAAGACGAGGGAAATAGTCTCAGAAAAAGTATAGTATGCACTCGTTTATAAACTTTACTAGACACACGTTTAATCTAAAATTTAGATTCTTAATTAAAGTCGTGATTAAAATGGCGCTAATCAAACTTGATACATAATATACTATTAAAACGCCGCTAATTAAATTGAATTAAAGTAGTTATAACTACATATATGTTTGTTGTTAGATATCTTATCCCGGCGTTACAACGCGTTGTTAGATATTTTATCCCGGCGCATTCGCCATTTTTTACATTTATTTTTTGTAATTAATTCTAACCTTTTATTTCTACCAATTATAATTAATCCATGTAAATGGTTAAATTACAAATTAATGTTTTTTATATTATTAATTATGTTATAAACCAAAATTAGACCGGATAACTATGATGATTAATTAAAATTTGTTGAGACTTGACTGTTTATAAATTTCATTTAGCAACCTAAAATCTCCTTTACTCTGGTTTTAATCAAGTCGTAATTAATAATTGTTTGCTTGTTTTATGTTTCATAAAAACCTCGATAAAATGTAAACAAAAATCTAAAATTTTATGCTGCTTATATTAATAAATATGATTTTTTGTTTTTTGCACATTTTAGGCTTTTGGTATAGCTGCAATAGTCGGAAGTAGCATTCAATTATGCTACAATGACTCAGGCGAAGACAAAATATATCTGATTGGAGCTATTGTAATGGGTTTGTACAATTTAATGTGCGGAGCTGTATTGATTTATGCTATAATAAATGTAAGTTAATAATATGTTATAAATCACATATTAATTCGTTTTTTTTGCAGGGTAAAGAAAGATGCGTTCTTCTATACATGCTCTTCGAGTTGGTAAACCTTATGGTTTTATCCATATTTTGCGGAATGAACATGTTATTTAAGGAATCTTTGTTATTAACAATATTGTTTCTCATATGCCGTAAGTATAATTGTACAAAAAAACATGCAAAATACGATAAAATCAATTTTACTGATTCTGAAATATTGACCAAAAATGTGGAGAATCTTTCAACTATTAAAAGGGAATTTTGGTCATTCAGAATTGTCTCTTTTTCGGTTTTTACATATATTGCTGTGCTAGGTCAAAATAGTTTACCAAAATTAGTAAGAATCAGTACTTTAATCTTAAAATATAAAAGTGCATTTATCAGTTTTTGCATGTTTTTGCTTCACAATTGTTAAAGAAGCGTTACCAAAGTTAAAATAATGTATTTTTTAATATTTCGACGTATCTAGTTTTTAAAACATTTCAGGAGAGGAATTTAAAGAAAAATGACTACTATTATATACGAGGTGTGTTCAGAAAATAACGGGAATTGTTAAATTTCGCGGGATCGGAGGGACCGGTTGTCATAAAATTTTCTTTATTATGTTGGTATACATGCCCCCGAAGTATGATAAAAACTTTAGCTATTTTCATTGTACACTTTGTCTGTGGCAGCCGCTAAGGTTAGACGTGTTTTATGAGCTCGGCGATTTTCGTTCGTTCAAAAGAAATGGATTACAGAATCTAGATCCAATTTTGCTTAAAAAATGAAATAAATTCTGTGAAATGTTAACAAAGGCCTATAGTGAGTTTGCTATAAGTAAAACAAGAGTTTACAAGTGAAGACGTTAAAGATAACGAACGCCCCGAACGCACAAGCACATTAACAACCGATAAAAACATGGAAAAAGTGGAAGAAATGGTTATAAACCATAAACCAAGTCGCTGATGATGTTGGTATATCGATTGGCTCATCCCATGAAATTTTGTCGAATGTTTCGGGTATAAAATGCGAGCTAGCAAAATTTGTTCCAAAATTGTTAAATTTTGAACAAAATTTTTGGCCAAAACAATACTGTAATGATGCCCCAGCCTCCATATTCGCCAGACATGCCTCTGTCTGACTTTTTCCTATTCCCAAAAATAAAGAGAACCTTAAAGGGCCGTCGTTTTGCAAGCATAGATGACATTAAAAGCGCATCGCTGAAAGAACTAAAGGCTATTCCAAAGATCGAGTTTTAGAAGTGTTTCGAGTATTTGAAGAAGAGCTGGCATAATATCCAATTTTAAAGGCGACAATATTAATGTAGACGTGTTTTTTTGTATAGAGATAGTATATGGGCAATAGAGTATTATTATTATCAATAACGGGTTTCGGATCCCCTGGGGCGCCATGCAGGTCCCAATGATGGTCCCTATCTGGGTCACACAAACTCTTTTGAGCCCTCTCTGATCCCCTATACAGCTCCCCCATTCACTCCTAGGTTCTCTCCATCTTTTTGTTCTGCCTCACATTCGGTCAGCACGTGCAGTGGGGTTCGTTCCCTTCTTTGCACATCCTGCACCTAGGATCCACGTCGTTTTTGAACGGTGGTACATCAGGCCCCCATGTTCCGTTATCACCCCGACATAAAGCCTCCTCCTCCTCGAGCGACAATACACGCTCAGGCCATTCCAAGGCAGTTTCTCATCAGGTGGTCAAATCGGATAAATGATGACCATAAGCGTCCGAAACAGGGGCTACTCAGGGAAAAAATCCTCCTAATTTGTTTGTGGGATTTAGTTAAATTCTCCAGAAGACTATGCTTATGATATACAAAGCAAGAACCCTACAAAAAATAAACTACGGAATACTCAACTATGGAACACAATTAACTAAAAAACAAATAAAAAAAATAAATACAATGCAAAATGAATGCCTAAGAATATGCCTAGGTACACTAAAATCCACCCCCCTACATGTTCTTAACAATGAAGCTGCTAAGACCCCAATCAAAATACATATAGAACAACAAATACAAACAACCTTTACCAGATGGTGGACAATCTACAGCCACACAGATAATAAATTAAACACACTAAATCACATCATAATGGCAAATAAATACTGGAGCAAAACCAAAATACCCTTGGATATACTCGCATACCGAGAATATAAAGAAGCACTTGAGCATGTCAATAACACCTACCCGCCAAACGACTTTCCATTACATAGAAAACCACTAAATATATCAACCAACATACCCAACATCAAATCCAAGACAGAAGACTTAACAATAATCAAAGCAGAAACTCTAAGAATGATTGACACAAAATACAAAGACCACGAAAAAATATACACTAACGGATCAAAAAAAATCGAATACACGGCAGCTGCAGCAGAAGCACCAAAAGCTATGTTATCCTAACAGACTCTAAAGCAGCCCTGCAAAGTTTGCAGTGCAAACGCTCAAAAGGATGAACCCACTAAATAACAAACATCCACTCGCCGAAGAGATATACACAAGGGTCACTGACACCAGGGGCATAAACATCATGTTCCAATGGTACTTGGACACATCAACATCCCAGGCAACGAAATGGCAGATACGGCCGCCAAAGAAGTGTTACACCCAATAAGCCACGTAAGGGTACCACATAGAGAGTTAAATCAATTTTAAACTATTAGAGACAAAACAATGGAAAAGTGGAACCATGAGTACAACAATGAAATAAGAACAAAAGGAAAATGGTACGGAAAAATTCAAGCAAACATTCAGTTAATACCATGGTTCCACAAAACAAACCTTAAAAGACAAGCCACAACAAAAATAATTCGATACAGGACTGGACACGGCCATCTAAACGAGAAAAAATTCTTATTCAAACAAATAGATAATCCAGACTGACCAACCTGCGAGGTACCCGAAACGGTGGAACATGTTTTGCTCCACTGCAAAAAGACACAACAAGAAAGACAACAAACCGAAAAAGACCCTGGAAGCAAAATCATGGACCTACTAAAAAACATAGACCAGACCTACCACAAACTAAAAAAATTTCTGAACAAAGTTCCCAACTTGTAAATACCTAAACGTTGTACTTATGGTTGCATAGCCTTAGGCTAAAACCTTGTGTAATAATATTTGTTGTATTACTGCACTAAATCGAATAAATAAATAAATAATAGTTAAATTCTTGATCTTGGAATACAATTCTCCGGATAATTTTACGGAAAAAGGTACTCTTGTTACAAAGTCATAAAGCCAACTGTTTTCGAGAAAAACGCTATTAAAAATGTCTCGCCACAAAAAAATATTAAGCGAATTAGTAGGCAATAGAAAAACATCAAATTATCCTGCAAATATCGTTATTTAGTCAGTTACCTTTATCTGTGGTCAGTTATAATCTGTGGTCAGTGGTTATATTTGTCAGATAAAACTGAAATTTCTAACAAAAATGATGAATTACACTGAAATGGCCAACATGCATTTCATGTAGGTACGTTAAGGCCAATGGTAATAGTTCCAGTTTACATCAAATACTGTGTGAAACGGGCGTTTTTAAAGTAAAGAATGGTGAGGCGGGAAAATAGAATAAATCAAGCAGTGGAACACGATGAAATGGTCATGGAAGTAGTTGCCGCTAATCCTGGGACAAGCACTAGAAGAATTGCAGCAAAGATTTTGTATCAACGTTTGGGCAGGAATAATTGTCAATTTCTTGATAGGTTCTCACGTCTTACCAAATCGACTGAACGGTGAAAGATACTTGTATTTTCTCCAAAACGTTTTCATAAACCTTGACGACGCACCCTACCATTTAAGATTGTCGATGTTTTTATGCATGATGGCGCCCCACCCCATTTTTCTGCGAACGTAAGGACACATTTAAATAAAGTTTACGCCGCACATACAGGTATTTGCACGATCTACGCGGCAAAAAGTCCCAATATCAAAATTACAATAACATTCGTATAAATGAGTTCCATGAAGAGAGTACGAACCCGGGAACTATTCGGTTACTCAATCTACCTGCTACCGCGCACCCCGCACCCGTAGCGCCAGTCTAAATTTGATAGTTTTACATAGTGTACGTATCTGTTCTTGGCGCTTTTCTAAACATCAAACTTCCAAAGTGATTTTTTATGTTATCAAGTTCTTCTTACGAATTGAAAGTGATGCATTCTGATGGACAAGGTAAGAAACTTACAAACTACATTGATTAAGCCATGATCTATTATTAAACAACAATATTTTTTTTATAATGAAAATACTTAGTTTCGTACCGTTATTTCCTGCAATATTTTTTCTTTACTAGTGTTTTTGTTTATGTATCGGGGTAGATCGGGCTATGGTTATTATTATAGGTCATTATTTGATCTTTTTCCTTATAACTACTATCAAAAACATCTCCGGAAACATCCGGATAAATACAGTTTTGAGGGATTAAAGATATTTAGCGAAATTTCGTAAAAAATTTGAAATATTTGTTAGCGACTTTTAACATAGTGGATGTTTGTTTTAGGCTCAGAGGGTGTATCAAAAGTAATGATTGTGACCCGACAATACTTGTTTGACCTCATGAAGAAAAAAATTTAACTAATTTAGATGCCAAATTAAACTATCTAAAAGATCAACTTACTCTCTAAAAATGAATTAGTCAAAAATGACTAATTACCACAGTTATTAGCGGCTGTTTTTCACTTATACCATGTTCCCCAACATTTAACAGCCAATTTTTAAGTAAAATTGTCTTTTGATTCCGAAAATACCGTCAAAAATCATAAAAGTAGAGCAGTTTTTGAGATATAGTCAATTCCATATTATATGGAAAATTGACTATTTCTCAAATTTTGACGACATTTTTGGATTCAGGGGACAATTTTACATGGAAATTGACTGCTGAATGTTTGGGATACAAATTGCTATTGACGAGAATTATTAGTGGATGTTTTTTCGCAATGACAAGTCATTTTTGACTAATTCATTTTTAGAGAGTATGTCATGTGAAGGTTATAATGAAGACCAAATTTTTAGTTTTTGGCCAATTTCAAATCAGAAATTAAACAAGGTGGACCAAAGCTCATAAAGAAGATAATTTTATAAAATACAATCGGCCTTGGCTGGAAGGTACTTTTAAAATACCGGTACAGGCCTGTTGTTGAGACTTCACAAAAACGGCCAGGTCGACCATCCAAGTCGTTCGAAGGCAAAAAACGGAAAAACTTCATTCTAATTTTGATAAGGAGATCATAATACCGCCAAGATTTTGCGAGAAAATTTTCCAGGGTAAATTGTAATCAGGATATTTTTAACTGCCTTCTACTTAGTTCAGATCCTATACTAAGTAGCATACGAACTGTAAAAAAAAGAAAGCAAAAACACTTTTGCCTGAAGCCTTGGCAATGTTTGTAAGTGCAGAATCCAATATATCAGAAAATTCATCAGAGAGCGACGAAGAAAGTCAAGAAACTTAGTATTATTATGTTTTACTTCCTTTTTACCGACCTAAAAATTTATATTTTTTGTAAATATATATTTTTTTTTGTAAAAAACATAATTTTGTTGTAAAAATAAGTTTTTTTATTTATTTACGTTATTTAGATACCAATTAAGCATAAAAATAATTTTGGCCGCGTAGATCGTGCAAATACCTGTATGTGCGCCGCCCGATGGATAAAACGAGGAGAGCCAATTCAGTGACCTCCTCATTCTCCAGATTTAAATACATTTGTAACGAGCAGCTTTTTTACGTAAAATTATCAAAACCCCACAAAAAAGTTGGGATGATTCCTTGCCCAATAAATACCCCAGAAATAAAGCATCATTATTTTCGCCTAAGCGTTTCTGAAATAATTAATAAAAACCTAATTTTGCGAAACAGTATACCACCGAAGTATATTAACGTTATATATACATATACCAAAATATTTTCGTTTGTTAAAAATCGTTGCAAACACCGAAAAGATGGGATTTTATCACCTACATATTGTATACAATGCGGGTACTCTTTAGCTATGCCTTATGACTCAATACATGGCTTATGACATAAATAACTATTAAAACTACGGTTTTTTTTCTTTATTTTTATAAACCATATTTTTATAGTTTATTTCTATTTTAGTTATTTTATGGTATAATTTGCACTGTATGTATGGATTCTATAAAGAATTGGCTGAATACAATTCAGTAAAATCTGGAGTAGTGGAAATATCCTACAATAGTGGACAAATAAATCCTTTAATGACAATGCCTGAAAGAGCTGTGGACAACACATCCGTCTAAATTTTATAAAACTATATAATTAATATTATTATATTATTATTATTATCATTATAGTTGGCCATTCTTTATACAGGGTGTGCCAAAAAAGTAAAGAAATTATAGTTTTTTTATAAGTATGAAGTTATATGGGTATATTAATATATTAATATATGTATATATATATATATACGCGTAAAAGTACCAAGTGACACCAAAAACTACATTGACGTTCCCGCACCCAATATTTTTGGCGCTTAATGTGAATTAATGGCACCTTATATATTTTTTAAGTATATATGCGTTCTGACACTATACAGATATATAATATCTTTGTTTTACTAAAATATTGCTCGCTTTAGGAAGTCCTTTGTCGAAATAACAAGTCAGATGTTTCGAATAAAATATTTATTGTCATCACATTTATTTTACTTTTCGTTTTAAATATTCTAAATTAAAAACTAACCTTGGAGAATACACAAACAGTCGTAACAATAATTTAAATAGAACTTTGCAATAAATTTCGCTTTAGCAAAAATTTACAAGAAACGATCCGTTCGCTAACACTTCCAAAAACTTTCTGCCTGTTTTTTGCTTCCCTTTATTCTATTCGTGTACCTGGACCATCGTTTCTTGAATCATCTGGACGCCAGATTTTTAGGCAAGTTTCGAAAAACCTGTAATTCTTTTACCTAAGTCTCCCTTTTTACCACTTTTGCAAAACTTTTTGCCTTTAACACGATAATTTAGAAATTTCAAATTTATTCTAAAATAAATTTGTAAAATATATAAAACTACGTTACTTTCCTTGAAAATAAATTTGTAAACCGTGTCGGTACGGAACAATTACAATATTTACATAAAGTTCGTTTTTGGGTGTACAAAACAAAAAATCCATTTTTACACATTTCATATGATTGCTGTTTTTTCATATAAATTGTGACAATAATAATTTTGGCATACCTAGTTTTTTAAATTTAATTTACATTATTATACAGGGCCTGAATATTGAGACATGTGATCTTATTCAAGGGGTAAAGTAAATTTTTTTTAGTAGAAAAGTAGAAAAAAATACAATATTGTGATTAAAAATTAAAATAAATTTGGTATTGCAATAAGAATTTTGTTTGCCCTTTATTATAAAAAAAATATCATTCTCTTGCCCGTTCAATTATCATTTACTCTTAATATTACTAATATGTCTTTATAAAATTATCAATTTTACCCATTTTTGGGTGCAACCGTTCTGGCAAACCAGCTATGAAATGACATAAAAATAAAATCATCAATTAATTTCTGAAATTAATGTAAAGCAAATTTTGCGACAGATTAGAAGAGAGAACAGTGGCGTAGCGACAGTACCGCGAACGCCCGCCACCGCGGGGGCCCTAGCCTTGTGGGGGCCCGGCCTATACTTGCCCCAAAACATTAAAAAACCTATTTCCATTGTATTATCTGCAAAACAAAAACTTGACGCGACGCTTAAAAATTATGGAAACATTCTAAGATTGCTAGTTATCTTTGTATGTTATAAAAATATGATATTATTTTTCTACTATTTTAGTAGTATGACAAAATTTAAATTATTTTCTCAAGATTACAGATTTTGAAAATAGACTTAAAAAATGATACTCGTGTCTCGGCGTGTTTTCAGATGACGGCTTCAATAACAGCTAAATGTATAGTTTTTGAAAAATTTTATTTAATGAATAAATTTTATTTAAAAAAAATCAAAAATTATTTTTTTTTATTTTTATTTATAGAATTTTTATTTAAATTTTTTTTTTAAGTATAATTTTTCTATTATTTAAAACATTCAATATTTGAAAAAATAATTTATAACAAAATAGAAAATATGTATATGTTAAAATAATAAGAATGGCTGTATAAAAAATTTTAATGACCTGATTTCGTAAAACGGTAAGTCACGGACATGTTTTTTAACCTATATTTTAAAATCTGTTAAATTTTTTCATGAGAGGTAAATCGTGTTGAACTGTATAAGAAACAGTGGAGAACCTTATTTAAAAAAAATATTCTTTCGCATTTTGTAAAAAAGTTGTTATTGTTATTTTTCGTTTACAAATATTTTTTTAATAAATAATAATAATAAATTAAAATAATAATTTTTATTTTCAATATAAAAATATGTGAAATCAGGGGGCCCAGTAAAGATTTTCGCGGGAGGGGTTTAACTTTAACCTTAAATAACTTTTAAACCAGTGAATTTATCAGAAAAATCAAAAGAGTGCTTTTTTGTAAAGCCTTTAATTTCTTATAAAAATATGTCTTCTATTGCTGTATATTAACTTGATCGGGAGAAAAAAAATAAATGTAAAACGTGCCGAAACCCCCTGTAATTTAAATGGAAAATGTATCGTCTTTGTGGCAAGGTTTAATATGAATATTAAGGGCTTATATGAGTGATAATTTTGTTAGGTCATAAACTAAAAATAAAATAAGTTGGTAAATAACGGACACCCTAATGTACAAGTATATTTCTTTACACAATTCTTAATTTTACACATTTCTAGCAAACCAGCGATTAAATTACGTAAAAATAAAAACCATATAATCAATTCCTGAAATTAAAGCAAATATGGTAGATTACAACAGAAAATAAAGATTTTTAAAAACCTGTTGCCTCAACAACAAATGTCAAAAAATACTTTATTATTTTCCCGGCAATATTGATAGATTATTCCATGACTAAAATTCAAAGATTTTATTGGTTTTTAGAAAATGATAAAAAATAATCACACAAATATAATAGGTATAGTCGTCTCGGCGAATGTTTTACATTGCGTCGTTAATTTGTAAAGCAAGCCAGAAAGACAGACATACATTACAATTTGCTGGTTTCTTTTTATACGTATGTGGGATGTATGCAGGACGTATGTCAAAAAACAGGTTTTTGAAATTTTAAATTGATGACGTAATGTAAATAATTCGTTGTGACGACTATACCTACTTTTCTTATTAGAATTAATGAAACGTGATAATTTAAAGTTTTGTTTGTGTTAAGCAATAATATTGGTTGTTTAAAAAATCTAGGTTAGAAAAATTTGTTTGATATTAAAAACAGTTTGATTAGATTAAATTAAATTAAATTAAATTAAATTAAAAAATCTGCCTGCTGTTAGGTATTAAGTATTAAGTATTGTTTTTTATTATTAAATATAAACAAAAAAATACTTACGAAAATCTTCTAATGCTTTTTTAACTAACTTTTGTGACCTAGTCATAAAACGTGCAGCATGCAGAAACTAGGGTTAAAGATGCATCTTTAACCCTAGTTTCTGCAAATAATTGATTGTTTTCCTAATTAATTTAAAAAAGTTTAATTACTGAGTACTTACCACTACAAACTTTGTGTTTTTCATTCATTTTTATGTAATTTCACGTACTTCACTAGGCGTGAATAATAATAATAGTAAGGAGCGACATGGTCACTACGAAATAGTAAATTAAATTAAATCTTAAATATCGGTGCCGCAAAGTATTATTGTATATATTCTATCATGGTGCCGCTACGTTCTATATTTTACTCACGTAGTTAGCGCCCTCTGTAGATTATATGGTTTAACTAAAATTGTACTTTTCTATATATATAGTCCAAGTGGCACCATCTGGAAATTTTGTAGGGATAATACTATGACACATTAGAGTTTATATATGAAATAAAACGTTCTGGCACCTTGAAATGGTGCCACAACGATTATATAGGTGCCACTTGGCCCATATATATCCGAATTTGGTGCCTCAACGCCTGCTTGTATATATATATATACATATATATATATATATATATATATATACAGGGTGGGTCATTTAACTCGAAACTTTGAAATATCTCAGTTAGTATGCATTTTACGAAAAAAAATTTAAAATAAAAATTAAATAATTCGAGGGGGAAAATCAATCAGTACTAAAATTGGTCCTCATAATCTCCTCCATATAGGGGTAACAGGGGGTAACTATAAAATTTCCAATGGAACACCATATTTTTTATTGCAGATTCGGATCATTCGAATAAATATAGGTGGATTTTGCGAATTAAAAATATCATAGTAGATATATCTACTATATACAGTGTGACCCATTTTTTGCGACTCACCCCTGTAAAATCTTTAGTTATTGTGCGATTTGTTACTATTAGTTTAATTTTATTTCAATGTTTTTTTCATGAATAACTTGACAACATAAATTTTTGTAGTTATTTTTGTGCATGTTTTTTCTCAATAAAATTTAGTATAGGGTCGTTTTGAGGGGTGGTGAATCCAGTGCCGTGCTTAGATTTTGTTTAAAAAAATCGCTAACAATTTACTCTTAAGAACTGACATAGTAGGCCCTGCATTTTGTAAAAATATGGCTTCAAAATACAGTTTATCAAGATCTACACTTTAAAACAAATCCGATTAAAATCGCACAATAAATAAAGATTTTACAGGGGTGAGTCGCAAACAAATGGGTCACACTGTATATAAAAATTTAATTTAATTTTTATACCACACTAATATTTTTAATTTAGTGAATTTAAAATATATGTTTCTTATATTTGTATTTTTTTGTTAACACATATTTTTAATTCGCTAAATTAAAAATATCATAGGAGATAATTTTAATTCATTTTAATTTTAATTTTTAAAATAAGCAGATATTTTTAATTGAATTAATTCAGATTGATAGTTTTAACACACCTGGTATTCCCAACTAATTCTGTAGCTAGATGGCGGCACAATCACTGGGATCCATATACTTACCACAAGTAAGTATATGCTGGGATCTACGACGTACGTGAGACCGATATATGACCCAGCGTGTGCTGAACAAGGAGTCCTTGTCAAGGACAGTGCTGCACCTTAGTTTGTTGTTGGAATGGGCCGGCTTTTGTGGCGTTTGGAATAACAGGGGATCCAAACTCTCAATCAGTCGGAATAAAAATATCACTTTCAATTAAAAATATGTGCTTATTTAATAAAATAAAAATTAAATCGAATTAAAAATATCTCTTATGATATTTTTAATACATTTAAAAATTTCTCCTGTAATATTTTTAATTTAGCGAATTAAAAATATGTGTTTGGCAAAAAAATACAAATATAAGAAGCAAATATTTTAAATTAACTAAATTAAAAATATAAGTTTGGCATAAA